AACTGCACGGCCGGGGGCCACCCCCCGCCCCGCACTGCCTGGAAGCGCTGGGGCTGGGCGCTGGAGCAGGATGACAGGTAACCCCTGGGGACTTTCATCCTCCCTGTCCTGCTGTGGACCCCCCCCTCGCAGGGTCTGTGGGCTGAGGGAGAGGGGTTGGGGTTGCCCATAGCTCTGCAGAGAGGAAAGCATTGCAGTGTCCCCAACCCATGCCCCTGAGATGGCTGGTGTGCTGCCAGCCTTAATGTCACAGATTTATTTGTAAGCCATCTGGCCTTACCCAGGTCACTGTCCCCACCGAGGGGCAGTGGGGAGGAGCTTTGCACGTCCGATGTGTGCTCAAATCTCAAAATACTCCTTGTGCTCCCCCTTAATTTCTTCTGCTTTTTGGTTTCCACCTCCCTGCCCGTGTCAGGCTGGGAGTGCTGGAGTGGACTCTGGGGAAGGTTATTTTTTCCCTTTAGCGATGAAAAAGCTCAATTCTTCATGCCTTTCCCTGGTTCAAAGCAGCATCCTTCCCTGCAGCAGCTGCTGGAGCTGGCTCCAAGTGCTAACCCACACCATCAGATGCCCAGCGCTTGCCACGTGTGTGGGTGGCCTTCAGCCCCCTCACTTATTTCAACTTTTTTTTTTCATCAGCTCTGTTTTCCCAGGGCTCATTTCTCCCTCTCTCCCCGTTTGCCGCAGGGTTTTCATGGATGCTCAGGGACGGCCACACAGGGGCTGCCATCCCAGAGGAGGCGGGGAATTACACCTGCCACGCCAGCAGCGCGCTGGGCTGGGACGAAAAATTCATCACCCTGGAGTTCACCGGTACCCGCTCCCCGCTGGCCAGCAGTGTCCTGGGAAGGGGGTTTATTGTCCCTCCTTGCTGTCCCTTGGCTGGCAGCTGGGACCTTGTGACACGCTGGCTGTGGGCTGGGGCTGGCTGTGATGGAGGGTGTTGGGGGGCAGCACCCAGGGTCCCCTTGGCGTGAATGTCACCACAGCCAGCGCTGCAGGGAGTCACCGCAGCCATCTATGTCCCCGTGGCACAGAGCCTCCCGCCATCCTGGCGCTGACGCCGAGCCTGAAGGCGCTGGTGGGAGAAGACGTGGCCCTGGAGTGCTGGGTTTCGGGGGTGCCCCCACCTCACGTTGCGTGGTACAAAGGTGAGGCTGGGACAGACCTGGGGAGCAGACCCCCTCTGTGCACTGGGGACCCTCCACCGCCCTGCAGGGATGTCACATGTGGGGTGATGATGGCAGGAGGGACCCCTGGAGCACTGGGGGTGCTGATGGGGGGGGTCTCGGGGCAGGTGAGCAGGCGGTGGCGGCGTTCCCCCCTGGCACCCAGCGCGCGGTGCTGCGGCTGCAGGCGGTGCAGGAGGAGTATGCGGGGCTGTACGTCTGCGAGGCTCTCGGCGAGGCTGGAGTCGCCTTTGACAACACCGTGCTGGACGTGGGCTGTAAGTCTATGCCTCCTTTTTGGTGCCCCTGGGTGCTCCAGCCCGTCTCCATCGCTCTGCCTCTGGGCTCAGCTCCCGCTTGCTGCTTCCCGCGACTCCTTGCCCCAGCTCCTGCGTTTCCCATTGGGGGGTGTCAGTGATCAGCACAAACAGGCTGAAGCCTGGTGGGATTGCCAAGGGTCAGGAGGAGGGAAGAGGCTCAAGAAGTGGCAGAAGACTGGTGCAGATGCTGTTGTATGGGACACGACAGCTTGGGGCAAGGCTGGGGGTGCAAAGTGCCATGAGTGGGATTAGGTGGAGGTGGGGGCTGGCTTCTGCGTGTCTGAAAATCCGGGTACCCCAAGCGATGCTCAGGGTTTCCAACCAACGGCAGAAGGGATGGAAGAGCCTGGGGAGGAGGAGGAGGAGAGGGGATTCTGAGTTGGGGGCAGCAAAGGCTTGAAGCAGTTAATGATGGAAAAGTGCAAGAGGTTTTGCTGTTCCAGGGAGCTGTGTGTAACTGGAAAGGGAGGAAACTGCAATGGCTGTGACGGTTTTGGAAAAACACCGAACGCATTAAGTCAATGTCATAATTTTTCAGGGCATCTGGCTCGTGGGTTTTGCAGCCCCCGTCTCTTCTCTGCGCTGGGCTGTGCCCAGAGCCTGCTATGGGGAAGCCGGGGTGTGGGACCTGCCTGAGCCCCTTCCCCACTGCTCTCTCCTCCAGCTGCCCCCCACTTTCCCGAGCCCCTGGGGGACGTGGCGGTCGAGGTTGGGGAGAGTGTGACCCTGCTGTGCCGTGTCGAGGGCTCTGCCCCGCTGCGGATTGACTGGTCCCGGCAGGACAGGAAGCCTGTGATGGGTTGGCACGAGCTGCATGGTGTTTCTGGACAGCTGGAGGCTGCTGAGCTCCGCATTGACAGTAAGGGAGCCAAGCATGTGCTGGCGTGGCGGAGAGCATCCGTGGGCATCCCGCCCGGGTGCACGCTTACAGCTCAGGCTTCTCCCCACCATGTTCCAGGCACCTCGCTGGATGACCAAGCCGTCTACATCTGCGAAGCCCAGAATGAGTTTGGGAAAATCCAAGCGGAGGTCAAGCTGGCAGTCGCTGGACACGGTTTGCTCTTACATGCTTTTGTTGGTATATTGATCCACCATCGCCCTGATGGCGAGCAAGCAGCAGACTTGTGCAGCCACGTCTGCTCCTGAGCCGGCCGCGGTGAACACTCAGCAAACCCCCTCCCTGCGCAGGGTTTGGATAATGCCCTTCCAGCTCTTTGGCTTAATGCCCTGACACATGCTTGAACCCAAACTATAGATCAATATCCCCAAGTTCTTGAGGGAGCCAAATGTCAGAGCTGGCCTGTGCAGAGCCAAGGTCTGGATCTTGGAAGAAAGACAATCCAGATCTGTTCTGAGCGTTCCTGGCCAGTTCATCTCCAAATAATATCGCTTCCCTTTCCTTTCTTTCAAGCAGCCCCAGAAATAGCTCTGGCACCCCCAGTGCTCCGTGTGCTCGCGGGCCAGCCCGTGTCACTGCCCTGCGTGATCCTGGCTGGGACACCGTTCCCAGCTCGCCGCTGGCTAAAGGATGGGCAACCGGTGAGGCTCCCGCGCCCGCTGGGATGGTGGGTGGGTGCAGTCCTGCTGGGGGACGGGTGCCCCAACCTCCCAGGGCCAAAGCTGCTGGTAAAAGATGCTGGGGGAGCACTTGGGTTGGGAGGGTGACATGGGTTCACCACCACATCAGTGTGTTCCTACTGGAAATGTTTCTAGGGTTGGTTTCTAGATATGCTGCAAAGACACAGCGATATGGTAACTTCTGACCCACCCCCCCCATCTGTCCTGCTCTCTGTCCATGCCCAGGTAGCCCCGAGTGGCCGCTACTCCGTCCGGGCTGACGGGAGCCTGCATGTGGAGCAGGCATTGCAGGAGGACGCAGGGACATTCACCTGTGAGGTGACCAATGCCCTCGGCTCACAATCTCTGGTTGTCCGTGGTGAGTGGCCGGGTGCTGGGTGTCCCCATGCTGCGGTGACCAGGGATGGATGTCCTCAGCACTTCTTAGGCTGCAAAGCACCACTGCCTGGGCCACGCAGGATGAGGTGCTTCTCTTCCTTCCCAGTTCCTCCCAGCATTGAGCTTGGCCCTGTCCTCATCACCGCCACCGAGGGAGTGGCTGTCACTCTGCAGTGCAATGCCACCGGTGTGCCCCCACCTACTGTCACCTGGGCAAAGGTAGGTGACAGGGACAGGCAGCCTGCAATCCCACGGCCAGCCGCGCTGTGGGTCGCCCTTGGGTGTGGGGTGATGTGTTTGAAGGGAACATAGCTCCCCAGTGTGGCTGTGGCTGCCTAGGGAGGTGGCGCTGGGAAGCCAGGACCAGGAGGCAGTTTGCTCTGATGGGTCCAGAGCCCTCTTGTTGCCCCTGGGATGCTCACCTCGTCGGAGGGTCTCTGCCATCTTCCTCCCTCCCTTCCCATTCCTCTGCAGGGCACAGAGCCCATCTCACTGAGCCCACGCCACCGCCTCGACCCCAATGGGACCCTCCTGATCCCTTCGCCGTCCCTTGGGGATGCTGGGACCTACTT